TGACTCAGAAGAGAAGGAGAAGCTTGAGAGAAAGTTTGATAGCCTATTCGCTCAATGGAATCGGCAGGGATCAGGGTATGCAAGACACTGACACTGATGAATGAACGATGGTATTCTCACGAGCACTTTCCTCGATATTAGAGGTTGCTATCACTGGAACTTTCCCCGGAAGTTCCGGATGGAAGCGGTGAATTCGGATCTCCGGGGTTGTCGCAATCCATCGGGATCTCAGGATCCTCTGAACCTGAGGGATTCTCAACTTCCATTGGTGTATCTTCCTCAGAGACGAAGCTACATTTGAGCAAGGATAGAACTTGTGGGTCGATACTCTTTCATTTACGTTCCGGAGGTTGGCGAAAGCTTGCGACCAAAGGATCCGACGAAATCATAAACATAGAGAAGAGATCGTAATTCGAGTTTTCTCGCGAGTTCTTCCGGGTATGATGACGTCGAAAACGTCGACAATCTTTGTTTCGCGATTCTTGGGACTCTTCCGTGAGCATCCCGACTGGCGTGAGATGTATAGATCTGCGCTCGGAGCATCAGAGGGAGCGGCTGATGAGCCCAGGATGACCTTCCAGAATCTCGGGGGGAGTATACCGCACCCAAAAAATAAATTAATCGATCGATATGCTGGGATTTCTGCAGATTCCGTCGGATTCCTGCTTTTTGAACACAGAATGAAATATTCGGTATTCGGGAACCGGGTCGAACCGGGTCTCAATTTTTTTTCATTGAATATAAGAGGACCTGGGGCTCCCTTGGCCGAGAGATTCGAGGTGGAATAATGTGGAATACATGCTTTCCCGCCCCCGTCAATATCCACAAATTTTGATGGTTTCGATGCATACAAAGATTTTCCGATTCGGGGACATGAGAGAGTAGCGAATGGGTCTGAATCGCCTAGAAACTTGAAATTCGGACGGAACTTGAAGTCAAAGCATTGATACCGCTAATCGGAGTCGGTTAGAGCCATTCATTTCGCGAAAGTAGCAGATGGGAAAAGAAATTCCGTATGATACCACCGATTGGGAGATGACTTCGATCGCCGCGCATTAATCAGTGAGTGCTCAGCTGACGCTTATGCCTATGGCTACCTGAACGCCGACCACTCGCGCGTCTTCCCCGCCTGTTCCGGAGTCGATCCTCGTATCTTTGATTTTGTCCACCTAAAAGTGGCTTTGGCGCCACTGTGGCAGCGTCGGAACGAACTCCCGCCTTCAAAGATATACTTGTTAAAGAGTTTCCAGTGATAACGATCAGAACAGAGAGAAGTAGGGTGCACGTTGAGCATGCCAGCGCGTCGATCAGTCAGTCGCTCACCGCGCGAGGGACAACGCGCGCCGCATATCGAGACGAGTCGCGGCGAAATAAACTCTTGAGAAACGACCGAAACGTGTGTTCTTCGGATTCGGGGAGGCATCAGTTAACAGGTGGCCGGAGGGAAGCTGAGGCTTCAGGTTATAAACGTGAGAAGTGTCAAACGTAATCTTGACCTCTTTCTTAACACATTTCTGAGACAAGACAGAGATGTGTTAATACTGACGGAGACGTGGTTGTACTCAGGGATAGAGAATTTCTCTAGTTTGAATGGCTTCACGGGTTATTTCGCCCCCAATGACTCACACAGGTCAGGTGGAGCAGCGATTTTTATCAAGGATCGCATTCCCTCTTATAGGGTACTATCGGGATCCTCGGACTGCGACCTTGTCATGGCAGAACTGTTAATCGATTAGGTTAGGCTCCGTATAGCGGCTATCTATCGCTCTCCGAGCCCCGAGGTGTCCGACTTGGGGAAATTCATCGCGAATGACATGAGTGCAATCTTTGATTCCTTCTGTCCGAACACCGACTACCTTATAGTAGGCGACATTAATATCTGCCTCCTCTCCTCATCCGGGTTCACCGGTGAATACCTGGATCTAATCAGCTCCCGTGGCTTCCAGAATCTCAAGGACTCCGTTCCGACGAGTGTCAGCGGTCTCCTCATCTTTGATCGACCATACTTCTGTGAAGCTGAGGGCGCTGAACAATCCGATCCTACGAGTTGTCGACTCACAGGGCATATCGGATCATAGGGTCATGGAGATCGAATTTGACGTGACACGCCCTGAGCCCGAGAGAAGAGTAAGCCGGAGGACTGATTTCACCAGGCTGGGAAGCTCTGTTGAGAGAGTCGATAGGTCGCACGTTTATCGGTCCCACGGACCGAAGCGGAAAACTGGAATTTTTCATGAGATGTGCGCTCAGGTGCTCCAAGATTGTACCACCCAGACACTTGCAAAGAACCATACTCGACCAGTGAGAGAATGGATGGCGGCGGGACTCGTGAGATGCGCCAGGAAGCGGAGTAAACTCTACAGAGACCTCCTGCGTCACAGAAGTGTCCGATCGAAGATACTGCACGAGCCATATCATAGTAGGCTGCGAGCCCTGCTGAGAAAGGCGAAGAACGATTTATATGGATCCAGATTCAGGGAGGCACAGGGATGCTCTGTGGAACGGCGATTGAAGACTTCGGTATCGTCAGATCAACTTGGAGCACCTCTCAGTTTATTGAACACTCACTATCACCTCCACGGCGGACTTGACTCCTCGACTACTCCTAACAGATTCTGCTTCTCACGTCTAGACGTCCGCCTTGCACATCTTCCATCGAACGTCCATCGACGCCACACTCGGACCACGACGCTCGGTCACGCTACCTAAGCTGGCTCCCGACAGCTCTCTCTCCAACATATTCTCGCCTTTGGGGTTCGGCGATTCGCCCTCTCATCTACCGACCGCCATTGAAATATAAGTTTTTGACGGCATCCTCAGCGCGTAACGGCGTCCTACGCGTCGGGCAGAAAGGAGTACGTCTCAACACCCTCGCTTACCTAGCATAGATAACAGAACAAGTGCCCGCACTTCGTGATTTGCGGGTCGTCGGGAACAATCATACACACCGCGCCTTTATAGTGGGACACCATCCCAAAATTGTGCAGGTCCTCTTCGGTCCAGCCGGCTGGGTACTGCGGACCCGCCATTTTCATCTCCGCTGATGGTTCTTCCGCCGCCATCACACAATGACTCCACACACGGCGTGCCGCCATCGCCGGCGTCTCGCCCTCTCGGGGTTGAACGTCCAGCTCTGGTTGTTCCACCGGCCGTCTCTCTTCTGCTTCAGCAATGGGACGATCTCCCCAGAAGAATGGGTCATCGCCGTCATCTCCACCACGAGACTCCTCCTGATTGTTGACCATCATCATCCGATTCTCTTCCCGGCCGCCCTCAGGTTGCACCTCTCGAACTTCCTGGACTCCTCGGGCTCCTCGAACGTCTTGGACTCCCTGAACCTCTCGAACGTCCTGAACCTCCTGGACTCCTCGAACTTCTTGAACGTCTCGAACTTCCGGCACCACCGGCGGCATGTCCCTTGGACTGGGACAAGCCATCCTTAAATGTCCCGTTCCGCCACATCGGAAACACACACGCGCCGGACAATTTTTTCGAAATGCCCCACTTCGTTGCATCCTCGGCACGTCCGCCTTCTTGCGCTGCACAACGGCGATCCCGTCTCCTGCCGGTTATCTAGACAGTCCGCGCACATCCTCATTGTCGACCGACTCACAGACCACCACACGCTGAAAAGACTGCTGCTTTGTTCGATTCGAGCGTTCCGATCTCTTTTCCGTTGGGGGTGTCTTCTCTTCGCCGGTCTCAGCGTGCATCGCCCGCCCGCTCTGCCATCGCTACCTCCTAGTTGTCCTCAACTTGAAAGTCCTTTTCCCTCTGCCTACCAACTAATTGCCGCCTGTATATTCTCTTCTAATTCATCATCTATTCCCGAATTCCTTCTTGCTTTTCCCGCCTGACCATCTACCTAAAGTATATGCCTCGGAAATGCACTGCTCGCGTCGGCCGAACTCTTGCTTCACCCTTTTTTCTTCGTTCTCGAGCCTTTCTCCCCGGCAACGGTGTAACCTCAACTTTCTGGTGATTCCGGTCCCGTTCGCTCTTTGATTTCGGCGCCTCGTCTTGTCTACAGTCGTCACTCGATTCTTCGTAACCTCCTTTGTTGTTTTTCTGATCTTCGGCTTCGTCTCCTCTTCTTGGGACGACATGTTCAGACCCTCGAAATGTTGTGACAACTCGTCGACTCGAATGTCCTCCTATTTACCTAGCTCGATGTTCTTCTCCGACTTCGATACCTCCGAAAGTTTAATATTTTCTGGAATGCTAACGGGATTATCATCGCCAAGCGGAGAATCCCCGTCACTTTCATCCCCGTACACTCTGTACCATTTTAACTTGGAACAGTGCGCCGTACATATACATTGCTTTTCGACCCCCATCTGAGCGAGCCGATATGTATCCTTCGGTAGAATCTCCGTAATTACCATCGGTCCCCTGTACTTTGGTTGCAACTTTGTTGGTAACCCCGTCTGTATCGGCAACCGCCTTACTAATACGATATCCCCGATCTCATACCGCCGCCAATGTGGTTTCCTTTTCTTATCGTAATCCTCCGCATATTTCGCTTGATTTTTGATGATCGTCTCCCGAATGTCCTCCTGAATTTCCTCTGCCGGCGTCCTCACCGTCCCTTGTTCCGAACCAAACCAGATCTTCAGAATGAGCCAATGAGTTTTCGGGACAGTGGGCTGTAACCATTTCGCGCTCTTTGGTGTCAGGGGATTTCTTTTGTCCGATAGAAGATTCTTGTAGCGGGATAAGGATCTTTCAACATCTACGCTAACAAGAGGAGCGTAAAACAGTGCCGAGACATCCGCGATGGTCCGATTTCCAAGTTCAGCTCCTGGTCTTGTACCCTGTATCGCTTTCTCGATCTCTTCCATGATCCTCAAACCAGGGCTCGACTGAATAATCCTCTGAAATTTCGCTTTAATCGAAGCGGCTGTGGGTCCAGCGAGAGATTCCACGCTTCGTCCGATATCTCTCACGAGGCTCAACGTGCAGCTGAGTGGTTGGATGCTGTTTTCTAATTTTGTGATGGACTAAGGAAACTCGGACAAATTGGCTGCTATGAAAGCGAGATTCGCTATCACACCAGAGTACCGAAAAAGCTCCTGCGATTTGGCGATAGCCGCCGCTTCCGATGAATCAAGTTCATCGACAATTTGATGAAGTGCTCCGAAATGTTCCGCATAATACAACGCGGCCACGATCCACGTTCCCCAACGAGTAATGATCGGTCGTGAAGGCTGGGGCACAGTCGGAGCAATCGTTCGGAGCGTCTGGTTTCGTGAGGTAGATTTCAAGGATACCTTTTTCATATGCGCGATCAAGTTGTCTACTTGGGGGAATAACACGCGAATTTCCTCACACAGTCGATGAAGTCCATGAACGACGCAAGTGACGTGTATCATTTTAGGGAAGAGTACACGCAAACATTGAGCGGCTGACTTCATGTAGGAGGCTCCATCGGTCACAAACAGCAAAATTCTTCCATGATGGACTCCGTCGGGCCACAGTAAATTCAGAGAATCCGTGAAAGCCTCAGCCACGGAGATGTGATTGGTTCTTTCGGCAATATCGGAGTAGAGTAGGAACGGGACGGATGGCGTATCGGGATTGAGAACACTGATGATTGTATTGACAACAAATTGTCCCTCGATATCAGTTGTCTCATCGATAGATATCCAGATTCGATCGTCTCCGATGGAACATCTGATCCTGTGAATGGTTTCCTCGAAGAGTTTCTTGAGATAGGTCTTCCGAAGAGTCGTGTGGTTCGGCATATCGGCTAGGCAACGCTTCTGCATGAAGGTCCGAAATGACTGCTGCTGAATTTTGCACAGAGGGATATTCGATTCCTACATCATTCTGCACAGATCCATGCTGAACGAACTTTCTCTCGGCGATAAGTCCGACGCGGGACCTTCTTCCTCGAACGAATTTTCCGCAAGCTG